GCATATTTGGCATTATAAGTTGATGGAAATTTAATTTGTTATTTATGCAAATATTTAAGAACTTTGAAAAGGTATGTATGCAACAAGAGTCGTCCAGAATGATGCATCACAGAGGGTTGCAAATTAGAAGAGTACTTGTCGTTTTGCTCAATGTATCTTGGTGACTCAGTGGTCACACGATGAAATAGACCAGGACGGAACTTTGATGTGGACCAAGGTAATGATAGAGAAGGAATTTCCATATTCACAAGTCGAGGCAGGCCATTAAGCACTCCTGATGTATTTCACATTAACCACGAGGTGATGGAGCGTGCACTTTGTTGCATTCTTTTCAATTATGCTGAAATGCAACCTTACCTAAGGTAAGACGTGGTGCTGTACATGGTGCTTTATTTGGTAGTTAATTGAATTTGTGAATTATTCTTTCATTGACATCATTTGTATGATTCATGAAGCACAAGTTATTGACAATTATCCTCGAATACGTAAGTTGTATGAAGTGCAACAAGAGGCCCATGCATCTTTTGCAATTTGGTGTAGGAATAATGTAAGTAGTTACAGTAAATAAGATTATAACTGGTTTTATCTTGCTATCTCATAGAAAGATATGCCAACAAAGGCACAATGTTGTTGGTGAAAAATATCAGATTGGAAGATGAACATTTTTTTCAAGATGACCTTCGTGTATTGGCAGTTGGTCCAAATCTTTTGGCATATACAGCAACTACCTAATGAATGGCCTTAGATTTAGGGTGAGATCTATTGATACTCATTGTAAGTATCGAAACAACGGTGTCTATGTGGCATCTGAAGGTGTGCATTACTTTAGTAAGCGTGTTCGAAATCCACGAGTGGCCAGTATGGACTATTATATTAAAAGACGTAATAGAGTTGGATTATCAGCATGGTAGAAAAGTCATTTTATTTGACTGTATTCGGTTGATCACATGAGTCCAAATCTTGGTGTTAAAAATGATGATTATAGGTTCACTTTAGTGAATTTTCAGCCTCTATCACCACCTGGTGACCTATTTGTATTAGGAATGCAAGCTTTGCAATGCTTCTATGTTCAGGATCCTATTGAGCATAATTGGCTTGTGGGCATTAAAACGGTTCCAAGTGATCTCTTTGACATGAACATAAGGGCTTCAATTGAACCAAATGCACCTCAAGACTTGGAAGATTCAACTGGTGATAATGACACGATTGAAACTAGACAAGATGTTGAACCCTTTGCTTTGGAAGAAGATAGTTAGAGGTGCACTAACTAAATGAGGAGCTAATAAACGTTACAGCTAGCAGCAGCATTGCTGTACAAGAAGGTGAGAAATCAATACTTAATAGGTTGTTCCACGATGTTTCACATTTTCTCAATTCTGGATTCTGTTGTTGCTGCCATGTTGGGTGCTTGCAATATCCTTTTGTAGTCATCAAGAAAGACTAAGGATATTCTTTTCCTTGAGATAATGTATCTGGTCAAATGGGATTAGCTTATTAGTGGGCTCAAGTTGTCAAAAGGTTTTATGTTTTATTTTTTAATATATACTTTGTTTTTTCTTTTCCATTTCTGTTTATTTATGATCTATATTAGTTTCTCCTTTCATTGGGTTTTTTTTTGTTGCATCTTTATATTGATCAACATACTTTTTTGTGCAGTTTCAGTTTCAGATTGATGTCTTTTTTTTTTTTTTTTTTTTTTGTAAAAAATCATAAAATTTTTTTTTTTTTTTTTATCGTCACAGACTCACAGCCTCTTCCCAACTTCTTTCGTGCAACCGTGCAATAATCATGTAACATAGAGAGAAGAAAGAAAAGAAAAACGTTGCATTAAAAAAGTACGCAGAAGCAGGCACACATGCGCAGGCTGTCAAAGACTGATTGACTGGACAAGCCCCTCACCTCACCAAAGAAGTTTTACTTTGAAATTTACTTTGACCCCTTTGAAAATTTTGATTGATTGATCCCTTCTTCTTCTTCTTGTGTTGACTTCAAAAGAGTAAAAGGAAAATGAGGGGCGACCATAGGTCAAAGCATGGCTGGTATGATGAAAATTTGGGTTTGGTAAGAAATCATAATATGTTTTGATTTTATTGTTCTTCTTTTCTCATGGAATATTTTTGGTAGAGCAATTAAAAGCTTCATGAGGATCATAAAGTTTGATGGAGTTCTTGTGTCAAGGGAACATACGGAGTTGGGTGAAGAAAAGGCACTGTTTTATTTTTGGTAAAGAGAAAATGCTATGTTTTGGTTAATGTGTTTTCGTTCATTGTACTGTAAGAGTTTTTAAATAACCTGATGATGTTGATACTTTGTAATGACTATTATATGAGGAAAACAATGTCATGCATTTTAAAATTTGTCTCAATTATTTGTTTCATGTTTTCCCTTCATATATTCACAATCTAAAAATACATTGAACAGTGCTGACTTTTTAGTATTGGTTTTTCCACCTTGAAAGAATGTCATTATGAGAAGAAGGGTGAGAAAATATTTGAACAATAGAAAAAATGTTATGCAAGGATAAGCATAATAAAATAAAACAAAAACATAGAGGTACTCTCTAACCATAAGAAAAGGACACTCACTACATTGCTTAAAGGAAAAACAACCAATATAAAGTGATATTACAACTTTTTTTATGAGTTCTCTATTAATGTAATAACTAGTTACATACAGTTTTTGTTGCAAGTCTGTAGCTTTATAAACATATGGTAAATTTATTTTATTTGTATGTTAGTTTAGGAGAATGAACAAGTCCAACACACATTCTTTCATTGTTCAATACGTGGTTCAGACTAGGTTAAAAAATATTTAGGTTGTAAAATCCCAACTTGTTTGTTGCAACTTTGTAGCTTTATGAACAGATTGTGAAATTATTTCATTTGCATGTTAGTTTAGTACAATGAACTCTGAAATTATTTCATTCTCACAAAAAGAGAGAGAGAGAGAGAGAGAGAGAGAGAGAGAGAGAGAGAGAGAGAGAGCACACAAACATGATGCTACTCCCTTCAATAAGAAATAGATGGAGCAACAGCCGAGAAAACATAAAGATGCTCCTCTACAACTCTATTATACTTTTCCAGTTATCCAAATTTGTTATAATTTTCCTCCCTATGCATTTTAGTAAATCGTATGTCTGTTACTTTATGTTCATGCTAGTATGAAATATAATAGACAAAAGAATTACTTACACCATGTTTTATAACGACAATTCCGTAACCTCTTATATTTTTATCATTATATTAATTAAATTCATTTGCAGATGGAGAATGTTTCAAATCACGCCTCGCTGCACTTGGTGAATGGTTTGTTAGGGCCAAATTGGGGTAGGTGACAACTCAAGATTTTGCAATTCAATAAAGAAGGTCAGGCAGTAGCACCGACTCACCAAATGGCAAAATGGTCTCGATACTTACGGATGTTAGCTTATGACCATTGTTTGTTTCCACTAGACACTGAAGATTGGCGTAAGTTAGATGAGAGTGACCACATGGACAAAACATGGGATCATGCTAAGGTATGACATTATATTCTACACAATTTTTTGCAAATTGTCATGACATAATATTCTACACAATTTTTTGCAAATTGTCATGACATAATATGTAATTCAATTGAAATTACCATTGTAGTGTACACTAGATTGGTCGAATCCTGAAATGTTGACGCTGGAGAAAAGAATAAGGGACGCGGTAGTAGATAAGTTGAACGATCGATTGAGATTGTTTAGAGTGATGGTTAAAAGGGACACCCCCTATTGGAATGGAAGAGAGGTTGCATTGTGGCAATGACCGTGTACACCCTGACCAATGGCGTAAACTGGTCAACCATTGGGATGAAGATCCAGCAAAGGTATGAAATGCATGTCATTTTCATTATATGGCTAGGGTCGAAATATGATTTTGTAGCCAAAATCACTTCTATCTATAGGGATTGTAATTTTTTTAATTTCATGTTTCGAAAAGGGCTATTATGAGAGTAATAAGAAAATGAACCAATAGTCCCAAAATTATTAGTAAGTAACAATGACTATTTTCGTTTTATATATTGAATTAGAAACGGAGTGCAACTAACAAAATAAACAAAAAAAACTTGAAGATGAGCCACACCACAGGCACAACAACGTTTGCACAGTTTCGCCATGAATATGTGAGTATGAAATTGATAATATGATTTTGCTATCTTACATTTATATTGTTTTCTGATTGTGAATCTAAAATTTGTCAAGTGGAAAAGCATGGAGTTCAACTTGATCAAGTAACTTTTTTTGTTATGACACATACAAGAGGAGAGGGAGATAATAAGCAACCAGTTGATGAAGCTTCACGTGAGATGATGGTAAGAAACTGATTGTTGTCATTAATATATAATTATCAAATGTCACTAGTACTCGAAGCATCCTAACTTGTCATGCTATGCCCATTGTGTATACCTTGATATTTAAAGCAAAAAATATCAATTAAATAAGTTATTTTTTCAATCAGTCAGGCATAAGTATCCATCAGCCCAACATCAGAAAAGCACTTGGAGATCCCCCCACAATAAGGTTAAGAAGCACCGCAAAAGATGAGCTGCAAATTCTAGGCCTGGGCACTGTTCGGGTCGGGTCAATTTTTTGCAGACCCACGGGCCGAACCGAAGGTGTGGTCGGTTCTCGAGTCGGGTCGGGTCTAGGGCAAAACCCGAAATTGAGCCGAACTATAAATGGACCTCGATTCTCGGGTCGATTCTGAGTTGTGATCGGTTTGGGCTTGAGCCCAAATTTACCATTTTCAAAAGCCCAAATCATTTTTACTTTCAGCCCAAAAAAGCCCAAATTAGATTTACTTTCAGTAAAAAAGAGCCCAAATCAGATTTACTTTCAGCCAAAATCCATTTTTTGTTGTCAAATGGCCAAAACCTAATAAGTTCTTATGAACAAGCCCAAATCACTTTTTACTTTTCTTTCAAAACCTGAAATTATGCAAATTCAGCCTATAAAAATCCATCATTCCAATCTAAGTTTCTAAACAACTATTAATCACAAATTCACACAATGCAAACCATCACAAAAAAATACACAAATAATAAAGCAAGAAATCCAAATTATAATGATTACAACCCATGACAAAAAAAAAAACAAATATCCTTCCAAAACATCTGCATCCATCCATCCAAAAGCCTTGACAAAGCAACCTGCATTCATCTGTCCAAAAATATACTTGTATCAGTCAACAATCAATCACCAAACATATAATTTCAGTACAAATAGAAATGAATAGTTTGCTTATCTTCAAAACCCTTCAAAGTTTAACAAACGAACATGTCAAACATCATGAACTACTCCTGAATAAGAAATAGATAAACAACAAAATTATATAACCTTATATTAGAGCTTTATAAAAGTAAACATATGCACCAGAAGAAAATTATCATCTATCTTCATATTGTTGAATGTATATGTAATATACAATCCAAAACCTGCGGCTCTCACATATGCAAAACCAAAAACTTAAGATCCACACTTACAATCGAAAACCCAATACAAAATTGATGAAAAAGGGCAAAACTTACAGAATAAAATTGACAAAAACCCAAAACTAAAAGTGACCCCCAGCTTCCTTTGTTTCAAGCTGAAACATCAAGAAAACTAACTAATTAGACACCCCACAATTGATCATAACCCATAACTAAAAGTCTACTAAACTGCAAAATAAGAAAGAAACACAACACTACATAAATAATAGACCTATCGTGGAAGTTAAGTTTTTGTTTTGTTCTTCCAGTTCTACATTCTTCCTTTCCAAGTCTTTTATCTGAGGAACCAAAATGCCAACGTCGCTCTGCACAAGCCACTAAAATTACATGAGAATTTAAACTTGACTTTCTCAGCAACCAAACGAAAGCTGCAAAAAAAAAAAATTCAGAATCTTTTTCTTTTCTAAAAAAAATACAGAAACTAGCTCCTCCTACCTCAGATAGCCGACTTGCATTCTCAGATTTTCTCATTCCTACATGGTCTGTGCAAAGAACGATGTTAGCAGTAACTCACAATCATTTTAATAGAGCTTAATAGATATTCATTTTAATCCCTCCTCTTTAGAGTTTGAATCATACAAACAAAAAAAGTTTGTAAAAGTAAACATAGATTTGAAGACCATGAACATCACTACGGTTTAGCTTAGTTATCCTTTGTTCTTATTTCATAAATTTGACTTTGGTGAACTATAAACCAAGGGATACAGTTAGAATACAAACTGGCTCTCAAAACTTACCTAAAATGATCTAATCACCTACAGCAGCTCTCAAAAACCCATAAAAATTCCAATATACAATCCAAAACCTACAGCTCTCACATATGCAAAACCAAAACTTAAGAACCCCATACAATTGAAAACCCAATACAATATTAAAATTGACAACAAAAAAACGCAAAACTAACAGAACAAAATTGACGAAAACCCAAAACTTACATAACAAAATTGACAATTTTTTTTAATTACCGTTTTCTATGAAAAGTCTTCGGTGCTGTCGAGCCAGAGAGAGAAGAGTCAGGCCGAGACAGAGAGAGAAGGTGAGGTGGTCGAGCTCGAGTCAGATAGAGAAAGGGTGAGGTTGAGCGAGACAGAGAGAGAGTGAGGTCGGGCTAGAGAGAGAGAGAGAGAGAGAGAGAGAGAGAGAGAGAGAGGGTGAGAGCTTGAGAGAGAGAGCGAGCGATGGCGCGCCGTAGCCGTACTCGTCGCCGTCGACTTTGTGAAGACGAGGAATCTTGTCTTTCAGAGCTAGGGAGACGATAGAGGTTGAGAGAGGTCGAGAGATGGAGAGCGGCAAAAAAAATTAATTGAGATGGAGGCTGGCTGCGAGTTAGGTCAAGAGATGATGCTTATATTAGGTTAGAGTAATCCAGTGCAAGCAAGCGCGCGGTACAAGTTCCTTTTGGCCAATAATATCATGCCATGTGTCAAATTTATATATAATTAAATAATGGGCGGTTCGGTTCAGGTCCACCGGTTCAAAAAAAATTGGAACCGGGGGCTGAACTGTTGACTTCGGTTCAGGTCAGGTTCAACATTGACTTTTTCGGTTTGGTCAAAAAAACCTTATTTTTCGGTTCAGTTTGGTTTGGTTCGGTCGGTTCATTCGGTTCATCGGTTTTTATGCCCACCCCTAGCAAATTCTAATCAACTTGTTCAAATGTGCTAATGTGGAAAATTGGAAGTGCATGTGATGTATGTTTTTTTTTTTTGGAAAACTTCTTATATCTTTATTATTGAGAATTAACTCACTGATTATTAAAGTAGCATACCCCACGAATAAGATTCATCCTATCTTTGACCCATTGTACATTTATCACCCCACCAAAATATATGCTTTAATTCACCAGATAGATACATAAATCTTTTCTTGGTTTTAGTGGTCTGTAACATGCATGATATTGAAGACTCTACAGTATGCAAGATATATATCAAATGTAGCACTTGAGAATTATATATCACATTTGTGAATAGATTGCATTGCATCGCCTTCAACTTTTTTTATGATAGTAAGGAGTTTTATTCCTAATAATAACAAATGTAATGACTCTTTATAAATTAACATGCAGCTGGAGTTTGATAAACGTGAGGTAGAAGTTCGTGAGCGAGGTGAAGATGTTAATACTGAGGTGCGCAATCAAATATTTGCTGATGCAATGAGGCCAATAATGTGAAACACTGTTCGTGGTTATCCCTTGGAAAGATGTACCTAACATTATAACTGAGCATAGAGGAATTTCGAGCGAAGTTCAAGAACTAAGAGAAGCATATGAAGAGCAAAGGCAAGCAGCTGTAGAAGTGCAACAAAAGATGGAGAACATAATACAATAAGCGAATAAGAAGGCGGATCGTTTGAAATGTCGGCAAGAAGAAGGTATTAAAAAAACTATGAGAAGAGTAGGCAAAAAATTTGAGCCTCATGAAGATTCAAATGGCTGAACAATTTAAATCAATGTTGGCAAATGTGGGAATATCTGTAGATGTTAATGCGATGGCAAGTGCACAATTTACTTCAATGACCCAACAGTAGTGTGGAAGTTCTCAAGCTCAAATGGCAACACAAGAGTATGAAGCACATCTTGGAATGCAATGTGCAACAAATGCTCCATAATCATATGCAACTCATGACGCTACGGATTGTCATAGTGCAAATTCTGGTTAGTTTCAGACTTGATGCATATTTTATGTTTGGCTTTGATAGTATTATGTGTTGGGGGTTGGATAAGTTAGATGACTATTGGGTGTTGGATAATATTTTGAAGCATAAGTTAGATGAATGTTTTATGCTGGGGCTTGGATAATATTTTGTGGAACTTGAAGCATGAGTTAGATGATTGTTATGCTAACTTGGTTGGAGACTATGCCTTATATTTTAGGTTGCTATTTTGACCACAAGTTAGGCCTTTGCTGGCCAAGATGTATATGATATTAGGCAAGTGTTGTGAATTGCATTTAGATTGTAGACCAAGTTTAGAAGATGAAGAGGTACATTCAAGTAGATGTTTTGGTAGTATGTAAAGGTTTCCTTTGTAGATGTATCCAACTCTAATGCTACAAACTAATGAATTTTAGGGGGGTGTATTTAATTTAGATTTTAAAATATTTTAAAGAAGTTTAAAAGTTCAGGTGTATTCAATCACGATTTTATAGAAGTCCATACAATTCTGAGTGTATTTATTTCAGACTTTTTAAACTCCATTCAAATTTAGATGTATTCAATCACAACTTTAAAAGACTTCATAAAAATTTGGGTGTACTCAAAAACTCATTGATTTTAAAGAAAATACAAAAAGTGGTGGATTATTAACCACCAATAGCATCATCACCATCACTGCCACTATCACCTCCACCACATCCACCACCGCCCTTACCCCGACGGCCACTACCACTATCACCCCCACCATCACCACTACCACAACAATCGTCAACATCATCACCAACACCACCACCTCACTCCCACCACCGTCACCACTACCACCCCCACCTCCTCCACCACAACCTCCCCTAGCATCACCCAAAAACCATCATTGCCACCGCCATCATCACCGTCATCACCCCTAAACCCTTTGTTTTTTGAGTGCTATAAACTAAATTAAAATCAATAATAAAACTCTAACAAACTCAGTTAAAATCTATACACGAATTCATTCAAACTCAATTAAAATTCATCAACTTTATAACTCTTTTTAAATAATTTAAAATCTAGATTGAATACACCGTCCTTAAGGTTATACTTATGTACTTGCAACCTATAATGTTAATATGTGTTGGGATGTTTATAATTTTCATTTCACTGCAATATTGGACATCGTTAAAGTGATAATAGTTTATTGCCTTTTATGTACAAACACAAGTTCATATGGTTTGATGGTATCCAGTGGCTTTATATGGTGGCATTGATAAAGTGCTTAAGGGCTAATATGTGCGATACTTGGGTAAAACGCTAAGTGTATAAGATTCGTAAATGTTCAAATAGACATATATTTTTCCTCTTGATTAAATTATTCAAATAAACAAAAATTATTGATTTTTATTTTTATTTTTGCCAAAAGTATTGATTTTTATTGACATAAGCTTATTAAAAAAAAACGAAATTGGGAAAAGTTAATTGGTTGGAAACATGTTCATTGTTCGTATGTTTTCTCTTTTTATTTTAAAAAAACTTATTGTATTGAGCACGGTTTCAATTGTGCTTAGTTCTTTTTAGTTTTAAAAAAACTTATTGTATTGAGCACAGTTTTAAATTATGCTTAGTTTTTAAAAATTATAAAAATATATAAATACATACCCATTGAGCACGGTTTTGAAATTGTGTGCTTAGTTATACAATATATATATATATATATATATATCAATCCTATTTTATTAAGGGATCTCTCAAATAATTTTATTTGAGGGACACCCTTTAGACAAAATAGAAACAGTTCGACATCCAATTGTATCCTACAAAATTAATGAATACGGTGCTTCAAGAAAGTGCTAAAATTTCAATAACACAATTGAGTGGTCATATGATATCGGATTCAAGTGATTTTTTTGTAGAGATGATCTTTGAATGATTATCTAAAACGGAGACAGTTTCGATTAGTGAAATACAATGCGGAGTGAGCCCAACAAAGATGTCCCTCAAATAAGCCAATTTGAGGGATCCCTCAGTGGAAGCTCCTCATTTGGGCACGATTTTGAACCTGTGCTTAGATTGCACTTGTCAAATCAATCTTACACTTCCGTCAGTTGTCAATATAAAAGTAAAAATGCTTGGATTCGTGCTCTAAATATTTACCACGAATCAACATATTTGTGCTCTATAATCAATAGAAACCCCTATACAGGAGACCGAACACTATAAAGTGGCTGCACTGTGGCTATCTTCAAAGAGCATGATTATCCGTGCTGTTTGAAACAAACACAAATAAAATTCGCGCTTTTAGCCTAGTTTTTTAGTTGTGGTTATTTGTTTGGTCGAGATTTGGAATATTGGTTCAATTTCTAGGCTTAATTTTTAGTCACTAAATTTGTCTTATGGAAAATTGATTTGGGTATTGTTAATTTTTCATGCTTATTTTGTTTCTAAGTCTTGGATGTGTTTGATTTTGGGTTGGAATTCTAGATTTTAAATGTTGGTGTAAGGCATTGGTTTGTAGTTTGAGTAGCCGATTCGACATAAGTAGCAAGAAGTGAAGGAAGTATGATAATTGAAGGTGCCTTTCATGGGTCTTATCGGTGTGGGTGGTGGTTGTGGTGTGGAGGGTGGCTGGGGTTGCTCAAGGGGGTAGCTCATGGGTGGGTCAGAAAGAGGGGGAGAGAAGGAGAGAGTTTTTTTTTATAATGGTATTTTATTACTATTTCACTTAATTTTTTAGTTTTAATAATATTTTTATCTATGTAGAGGTGGTCTCCACATGCCACGTCACCCCTCAATTGTGAATAATGATCCATGTGTACGAAATTACAAAAGCACTCCTACCACATCATCATATTTAATAGACTTTTAGACGAAGTTGACGGAAAGAGGCAAAATGAGTCACCAAACCACGGTCCAATAGGGCAAGTGGGCCACTTTAAGTTTGGGGGGGGGGGGGGCACAAAGATTTGACAGGAATTTTAAGGGGAATGGGGGTAAAAATTCTTTTTTAAAAAAATAGCATATTTTAAATAAATGTAAATCAGATCCAACCCCAAAACTCACTCCAAACTCTATAAATACTCACCCATTTCTCAAATAATCCACCAACAATATTTGTGGAATTTCAATTTTTTTAGGTCAAATTGTTCAAAATAAATAAATTATGAAGTTCTTTAGAAAGATTAAATGAAGAAAAGTTATTCATTTAAAAAAATACAAATTTATAAATAAACCCAATCCTAGACATGTATTTATAAAAAAACCCAAGCACTATTTAAATATAGAAACACACCCAAAATCAACCTCAAAGTCAACTTTTTGGGTGTGTTTATAAATAAGTTTTGAGTGTGTGTAATGATGGGTTTTGGGTGTGTTTATATGTTTTAATAGTGCTTTGGTTTTTTTATAATTTCAACCCCCATTTTGGGTGTTTTAGTGAAACTCCCT